CAGGAACCGAACCCAGGACTCTCTATTTTGTGGGCCAACACTCTAACCGCTGAGCCAAACCGGCCAGCGCTCTGTTTTCTTTTTAACTTTTATTTTCTTCTTGATTGATTTTCAGAGACAGAAGAAGAAGGAGAGAGAGAGAAAGAAACATAGATGAGAGAGAACATCGATTGGCCACCTCCTGCATCTTCCCCACTAGGGACTGGGTCCACAACCTGGGCAGCATGTGCCCTGACCAGGAATTGAACTGGTGACCTCTTGGTGCATGGGTCGATGCTCAACTACTGAGTCAGCTGTCTGGGCTAGCTTGGAGACTTTTTAACCCACTTTTGGGATCTTCTCATTCGGTATTTTCTAGCCTATCCAATGGTTTTATTTGTTTGTGGGGTTTTTTTTTGGTCACTGAGATTTCCACTCACTAACATATGCTTTAATTGGTATATATCTCAGACCCCTGGGTTATATACTTTCTTATAATGATTTATAATAACCTGCAAATTTATTTTTACCTTGTATTGGCTTTGAAAAGTCTTTGATGATGGCTGTCAGTTTAGTGCAAGACCAGGTTTTGAAATGGTTCTTCTTTGTTCTGAGTAATTGAGTTTGGGAGTTTTTTGCCAGGCCAAAAGGGAAGGAAGGCAATTTAGAGAAAGGATTATGGACAAAGAATGAGGGAAGAAGATAGTAAGACAAAGATTGTTGGCTTCTTGTTATAATGTAGAGAATCTAGAAAAGGAATACTTTGCCCTGGCCAGTTTTCTCAGTGGTTAGAGCGTTGGCCATAGAGTGCAGGGTCTTGGGTTTGATTCCCAGTCAAGGGCATGTGGCTGGGTTGCCCTGAATCAATTTTTTTTTTTCTCTCTCTCCACCTTCTCAAAAAATCAATGGAAAAATATCCTAGGGTGAGGATTTTTTTAAAAAGAAGAAATGACTGTTGAGTGAATGAATAAACATATCTACTTCTTAAAATAAATAAAAATAAATAAAAAAATAAAAAAGATAGTTTTAGGATTTTTGCAAAATTTTCTTTAGTTTGTGAAAGGAATAGCTTAAGGAAGTAAATTTTGGATCTGAATTTTATGGAAAGTATATTGTGCAAATACAAATGTACAATGTTTTCGGTGGGATTGACCCCCCCTTTTTTTTTCTGAGCAAGAAGTTTAAAGAGTCTTGGTTAAAAAACAAACGAACAAAAACATTTATTTGATGATATTTACTAAAGAGTTGAAAAGTTTTATATGCATTTAACCCCTCCTCCGAAATTCCTGGAAGAAAAAAGAATGTTATTTTCAATTTGAATATTTTTGTTCAAATGTTCTCAGCAATAAGAAAGTCACGTTTATGAATACAGTGGAAGAGTCCAATTATGTTGAAGCAGACAGAAAGTAAACTATGAATGCAAGTAGTTTCAGTTCTCAGTGGTAATGAACAGTGAACAGTTAAACATAAAAGTATATGCAATTTTTATAACCAGTTATGTTGTTTCATAAAAATAAAACATAAAAGATGACTTTAGATAATTTTTTTTTAAAAAAACTTAGTAGCTCTACTCTGTTGTGTAACTCTGATCAGATACTTTCTATATTTATAGAACTTTCAATTCAATAAATGTGAGATATAAATGTTTACTATGGTAAATTTTACTGTACTTATTCTGACTGTGCATGAAGCTATAAAATGTCTTAAAATTTTGTGTTATTTTACAAGATAGTTGGTTCAACATAAAGTTAGGTGTGGTGTGAACAAAGTCAATAGAGAGATAAAAGGTAAGGCCTGTCAATGATAGTATTATAACAATCTCTTTTGGAGACTGTCACTTTTCTGTTGCTAACTGACCTTGACTGCATGGCTAATTGCATGAATTTCTAAAAGCTTGAGGCTGTACAAATCATAGTGAACTGAAGAAAGCTATACTCTTTATATTTAGTTATTTAATGAAATATGTGTTTTGATTAGTATTTACTAGACAAAAGGCACCTTTGTAAATACATTATATTTTTCAACACCAAGCTAAGTTTTCACGTGTGTAAAATGTAGATGAAAATAACATCTACCCTAGAGGATCTTTGTACTTAGGATATTTAGAATAGTGTCCACCATTAATAATTTCTTAGCTTTTATCTTTGTCCAGATGAAAGGGATTCTAAACTGCACCCAGCAGCTTTTTAGTTAGATATACTCTCAGATATTTATTTTTGCCTTTACTTCCCTTGATTTGAGGTCAAATTTTTAAGTTCTTCTCTAAGATCAAGGTCCTAAGTTTAGTACCTATGTTTTCTTCTATGTAATTTATTGTTTCAGGTCTTATAGTTAGGTCTTTGGTCCATTTTGACTTAATGTTTGTATATGGGAACAAATAGTAGCTAGTTTCATTCTTTTACATGTGGCTTTCCAAAAATCTGTATGATCTTACTAACCAACATCATGCCAATAAATTTAATTAAAAATTTATCCAAACCTGTATTATTATGAAGACTTTGGTTCCCATAGAACTTCTTAGGAAGGAGAGTCAAAATTCTTCTTTACAAGTTTATTAACTTCATCTGTTACTCCTGGTTAACCTTCGAATGTATTCATGCTTGACATTCATTCACCTAGTTTTAGACTCTAAAAATATTTAATATAAATTAAAAGCAAAACCGAATTCTTCAACAGATATTATCTTTTTCTAATCTCTGAATGTGAGACCCTGTGCTGTGTCACGTGGTCTGTCTTGTTCCACATTCCTTTTTATATGGAACCAAAAACAACAAGCTTGGGCTAATGTCATCTTTCCATCTTTCTAGTAGTATCATCAGTTGTTCCTCATCACCCCACTCCCAACCCCTGTTAATTAATGTTATTAGAAGTTATAGTATTACCATCAGTATCATTCTTTAAAAAAATATTGACACTATTCCCTGCTCTCTCCTCTTGCCTTCGCCACACTGTTGTCTGTGTCTATGGGCTATGCATGTATGTTCTCTGGCTAATCTCCTCACGTTCTTTCATCCAGGCCCCCAGCTTCCCTCCCCTCTGATCTCTGTCACTCTGTTTCATGCATCCATGCCTCTGGTTCTATTTTGTTCATCAGTTTATTTTGTTCATTAGGTTCCACATATAAGTGAGATCATATAGTATTTGTCTCTCTCTGAATGGCTTATTTGCTTTGCATAATAATGTCCAGGTCCATCATCAGTATAATTCTTAAAACTGCTAGATTTAAATAGCATCCTGCTCTGGAAATTTCACTTGTCCATGCTTCAGGAATTGCTTGGTGCAAACATCTGACATTTTTAGCCAGCAGCTTAGACACATACCTACTAAGGTACTTGAAAAACACTAAACGGCATCCTTTACCAAAAATATCTTATCTAGTATTCTTTGGCATCTAGAATACTATTTAACAGAAGTAGTGAGGTATAATGGAACATACTATGGACCACATGTTGAAAACCTCAGGCTACACTCATCTGTATAACTCGTGTTGTTATCTGGGGCAGTAGAAAGTTATCTGAGACATTCTCTTGCTTTAAATTGGTAAAATCTTGATGTTTTGATGTTGAGATGTAAAAAAAGAAAGAAAGCTTTTTGGAAAGTGTGACACCTGGAAAGGTTATTTTCCAAGGGAGAACAAAGTACAGATCATTAAAAAATGAGAACTTGCGTGTGATTCTCTACAGAGGTGCTATTGGCTTTTGGACAGGACAATCTTCTTCTATTTTGCTGGTCTCATATTGCAGGCAATTTAGCTTTATTAACTCCTACCTCTATAAATGCCAACAGTAACCTCCATCCCCAGGTATTTTGATTATCAAAAATACTTACACTTTTCTGTTGGAAAAACATACTTTCCAGTAAAACACACTTATTAAAGATTATATGGAAGGTATTTACCAGCTTATGTGAGGTCTGAGAAGAGTGAAATATGAGTCCTAGAGGCAAGATTTTTCTATTGGACTAATAATAGATTATTTAAAACAAAAAATAAACTGAGATTTATTAAAAGAAACTTAGTACCTTAGGCATACTTTGCATGATAATGGAATATCCTAAATAATAAGAGTAGGTATGAGTTTCAGTGAAAATTCTGTGAAAGGAGGTATTGATACTGCAGGCATGAGGGAGCCAGATCCTTCCCACACTCAGACAGGAAGTCCTTAAGGTACCATCAGAATAAGCATATTCAGAAACCCCCACAGGAGAATGAATGGTTTTTATTGGCATGGATTGCATTTCTGGGGTTGTAAAATCCCATGTCCCAACAGTCCAGTCCCGGAAGAAGGACAGCTATGGATTAAGCAAAGTTAGAAACAGGGCAAGAGCCCAGAATGTCTGTGCCATGATACAGCTGGTTCCAAGTCATGATCAGTCAAAATTCAGTCCATTAGTGCATTGTGGGGGGTTTCACATGGTTGTGGGCCACATGGTGAATACAGGTTATGGGAGCCCCACAAGTTGGGAGTTCAGCATGGGCAGCAAGAGAAAGAGAGAGAGAGACAGAGAGAGAGAGAGAGAGGGAAAGAGAGGGAGAGAGAGCTTTCCTTTGTCTAGGAGATTAAATATTCAGATTTCGAGCACTTGCAATGACCACACTTGTTCTGGGCACTAACTGGGTTCCAGGTGTGAAGGACAGGTAGGCACCTCTCATGTCACTCAGACTTACTGGGCATGTGTCTAAATGGCCTTTTATTGTTTTTCATAAAATGAAAATGTTTTATTGAGCAACCTCATGTCTTATTTTCACATTATACATACATATATTTTTTTCCAAGAAATTCCTGAAACTCTAGTACTTATTTCTTTTACTCTAGTTATAGAATTCAGAGCACATTTTCAGCATTAAATAGCGAGATATTATCAAGTTTCAAATATTTATTAATCAGTGTAAACCCCAAAATAATACGCCAACATGATTTCATAGCATTCGGAGGGGAAATAATTTCTGGTTAAGTGGAAAATTGTGCGGATGGCTTCCGGAAGAACTTCATTCTAAGCAGCTTTATAGTGAGACATTTCATTTAGAACTCTGGACCTCCTTTCTTCAGTTTGCTGTCATCTACATTCACTGAGTAGAACTTGTATTGCTCATTGAGACCCAGTTTGCTCCAGAGTTCTGGGTTCTTTCTGTCCCAAGAAACATCTGGACTGAACGATACCGGCCGTGTAACATACACCACCACCCTAGCACCTCCGGCTCCAATAAACACAAAGAGGGGGATCAAGCTTGGATGCTTCTTGGACTGGCTGAGGATCTGGTGGAGCATGGTTGTGGCAGAGGGCCCAGAAGCAGAGAAAAACAAAATTGCACAGCCGGGATGCAGGTAGGCAGCTCCTTTAAACGGCCTTTTAAAGTCCCTTCCCCCACAGATCAGTGGGGAATAGATCTGAAGTGTGAAATTAGCTAATCTTCTCTTTACTCCTTTCCTATTAACTAATGACCAGATTATTGCAATAGTATCAGTATCATGGGGGGAAAACACAAATATTAAAAGACAAACAAAGTGGGTTATGGAGTTTGAGGCAGCAATATTATACGTCGTCCTTACTACAATAAGCAATCTTCATGAGGGCAGGGTTCTGTTCTAATGTAATCATATTTGTATCTCTAGGGTATAGCAGAATGTCTTTAATTGACAACAAATGGATATGTGACAATTAAATAATTAAATAATTAATGGGTTTTAAATTAGTGGTAATATTTTATTTGAATTTTCCCATTTTCAAGTGTTAGCTTTTGCAACTTGACTTTACCCCTGGACCTACACAATAAATGAGTCCTGTTTTATTTACTGCATTCTTGGTTTAGGTTTTGTAAAAACTACATGTTATGTCAACTTTACCTACTGATGTCCTTCAAGTGTTGTTATACCCAGATGCCTAGAGATACTTTCTGAGGTTCTAAGAAGTTGCTCATAATATTAGGGATATGTTCCTCTTCTTTACTACTGAGTCCTAAAGTTTGGCTATTCAGGTCAACTGTAATTGAAGAACTTTAGACAAAAGTCACATTTCATGATTTTTTTTTATTATTATTTATTGATTTTAGAGAGAAAGAAAGGGAGAGGGAGAGAGAGATAGAAACATTGACAAAAGAGAACATTGATTGGCTGCCTCCTGCATGCCCCCCACGGGGGATTTGTCCCACAACCTGGGCATGTGCCCTGACTGGGAATGGAACTGGCGACCTCTTGGTGCATGGAGGATGCTCAAACTCTGAGTCACATCAGCCGGACACACTTCATGATTGTTAAATTTGTTTTGTGTGTATAAAAATGATCCACCAGAGCCTTTCATAATTATGTGAGGAAAGAGATGACATAGAGCAAGAAGCTGAGAAGTCATAAAGGAGTCTTTGAGACAATTTAGATGTCGATTTGGTTGTAATTATACATTAAACTTTTTAGCTTCTAAAATAGATGCATATCATTTTTTTTCTGAGAGTATCAAAACAATGGTCCGGTATAGCAAGGCAACTGCTTGCTTTCAAATCCGTTACCACCCTAAACCCAGTTTGGAGAGTGGAGTCCTGTACAGGTAGTTAACTCTCTCCATCCCAACACAGGTACACGTGTCATTTGGTCAAAAGTAACTCTTACCCGTAAACAAAGCTACTAAGTGATCATTTATGTATCTTGCCATTTTTAAGTGTATTGTAAAAGAGTGGAGGTGCAAAGAATATTTTTATATTTAGAGAGTAACTAAAGAACATATATGCATATATGCATAGTCCATGGATACAGACAATAGTGTTGTGAAGGTGGGGGGGGATGGGGGGAGGGGGGCAAAGTAGGGGAAAATGGGAGACATCTGTCATACTGTCAACAATAAAAAATATATATGCATAACATCTTGCTGTAGGAAAAATAGTTAGCACCAAATAATTCTACATTATCTGTATTTGTTACCATAGCAGTTACTACTTATTTAGTGCAATTAATATTTGTTAGCTTGTTATTTAACAGGTATACAGTCATTTTTTAGTTTTTCTTCTATTTTCTGTTTTGTTTACATTTCATACAGTGTTGCTTCTGAAATATGTTCTTAATTTAATTATTTAAGTATATACATTAATCTGTATTATAATTAATTCATATTGACTGTGCAAACCGTCTAATTTAATTATAAGGTGTTTAAAATATTTTATTTTAATTAATGTTTAACTTCTAAGTCTGTCTATATTTATTTCTCTTCCCATGTTTCAATTTTCTCAGGCTGAAAAGACAATGTAGCAGGTTTACAATAAGTATTCTTGTTGAAAATCTAAAGTAACTATAGAAAAGCTGAACAATTCCAGTGAAATGACATCTTTAAAGGGAGAATTGTTTTATATATCATTTACTGCTATCCATACCTCATTTCAAATATATATTTACACATATGATTCAGAATTATGCATATTCATCAGTCATCAATTCACTGTTGTTAAGTCATAATATTGGAGTCCTGATATTTATTACCTACCACATTTATTTCTAAATCTGAATCAGATTTACTTATTAGCTCTGATCTAATTCAAAATCCACTTCAAAATGTGTTAAATGAACTGCAAATTATTTCTTGCTCATACTTCTTATGCTTCTAATGAGTAGTATGAAGAGAATTTCCTCTCAGCAGCTAGATATAGTTAGACATATTTCTGTCATGCAACAAAGGTGTGTTAACATGTCTGTAGTTAATAAAATTGTTATTAACAATTTTAACTGTTAAAAACATTATAAAATCATAAAAAGCTGGAGATGTTAGCAAAGCAGTAAATAATAAAAATGTTTCAAGAGACCTGAATAATAACTTTTTGAAACTTATTTTAAAGCAGTTTACCTCAGCAAAGCATGCCAGAAAATATGCGAATGCTTTGCTAATGGAAATATTCACTCTGAATTTTAAAATTTATTTTATAGATTTGTCTAGCACCTACCATATAACAATTTAAGTATTCAGTTAATATTATAGTACTTAATATATTATATATATTTATGTATTAATCCTAATCATCCTAATTTTTCTACAGTGTATGAACTATGGGTTTCTAAAGAAAAAAAAAACACATGATAATCTCAGATCATCTAGATATGAATCTTTACTTGGTCAAGAGAAGTATGAAATATTTACTTCGGGATGAGAAATATTTTTTCCCTATCTTTGGTGGCACTATATAGTATCATATATAAAGAATATATTTAAATCATGAAAAACATGAAGTATTTGCTTAAACATATATTTTATTTGCTCTTGAATGGTAGCTAAAGATTATCATTTTTGTAGATATTTGTGAAAATATAGCTAAATGTGTCACGATATACTGTTGTAGCAGAAGCAAAGCTGTTTGTCAGAAAGAGATGACCTTGTCATTATTTGCACTTCTTCTCTCTTCAGGCTGAATGAGAGTCTTTTGGGTCCTGATATACTTCTTGCCCATGCTGTGAGTCTTTTAGTGCTTAGTACCAGAGGAGAACATTTTTTGGAAGGAAGGAGACTTCTTGTGTATCATTCTTCCAAGATGAGTAAAACACCTCTAGCTGGGAAATTACAGCCCTCTGTACTAAATCAGCACAGATGACTTGCCTATAATGAGCTTTGGAATCTACCTAAGGAAGATCCAAGTTCTGTGGTGACACATGAAATGTCTGGTGGAGAGAAGGAAATGGGACAGAGACCACAGACATTTGGGAATACTGGAAATGTCATCATTTTATTTTATTTATTTTTGTGAATACCTGAAGATATTTTTTTCATTGATTTTTAGAGAGAGAGTAGAAGAGGGAGAGAGAAGAGAAATAGGAGAGAGAGACATCAATGTGAGAACAAAATATCGATGGGTTGCCTCCTGCACACACCCCAACTGGGAATCAAACCTGCAACCTAGGTACATACCCTTGACCAGGAATTGAACCTGTAATCCTTTAGTACACGAGTCTTTGCTCTAACCCCTTAGCACACTGCTGAGGGCATAATTTTAATTTTGATGACATTATTTTATATCAGGCTAAGACAAAAGCATGAGAGTTCAGTTTTTCCAATCTACCAGATGAAGCTGCACTCCTTCATTTGAGGGTAGCAAGTATAAATATTAACTCCACAGTAAGACTGCCTTATAAATTAGATTTAACACTTTTCATTTCTTTATGTATTTTTATCCTCACCTGAGGACATTTTTGCATTTATCTTCAGATAGGGTGGGAGAGAAAGAGGGAGGGAGAGAGAGAAACATCGATGTGAGAGAGGCACATCGAGTGGTTGCCACCCACATGACCCCAACTGGGGCTGGGGACAAACTGCAACTGAGGTACATGCCTGTAGTGGGAACCAAACCTGCAGGCCAATGCTTTAACTGCTGAGTCAAACTGGCCAGGGCAGATTTAATACTTTTTAACTCTGTTATCTTGGGCAAATTATTTACTCTCTGTGTACAAATTTTTTAACATGTAAACAAAGAGAATTATAATTGTTGTACAATGGTAGCATTTGATTGATTGGTTTATTACAGGTAGAAAACTTAGTATCAGGCATATAGCATATGCCTATCCCTTTGAAGCTTAAGAATTTCCAAATGAATAAAGCACCATATATAAATCACCTCTGTTAATAAAATGATTATCATACTTTTAAATCAATGTCAATATGAATCACAACAAACTAAAGTAAAAACAAAATCCTGGAGAATATTTCAAAGTCTTATCTAAATGTTTCACTAGAGCAAAGAATGTAAGGTAGCTGAAGAAGAATTAAGTAGAGTAAATATATAATATTTTTATATAGCAAACTATAATCATGCACTTCTCATGATTGCATTTATTTGCCACTATTTTTTTGTGTTATAAAAAAGATTATTAAACACCAAAAATATGAATTTAGTATATTCCTCTTATATTTTAATAATAGGTAATTATTTGTTCATTCTTCAAGAATTTAGAGACACTACTGAGTCAGACATCTTGCTACTTTACTTTGCTGGGGCATCAGATAGAAAAAAAAAATGTTTCTAAATTTATAAAGGTGGTATTCCTTCATTGATTGATATGTCCAAATATATATATAATGAACAACTATAACATACCGGATGTAGTACAGATGCTGGATATACAAATGGATATAAATATACATGTTGCTGTCCTCTAACTCATAGATCAGTTACCAGTACACAAAATTATGATGAAATATTTCAGCAAAACTTAACAATATACTTATTCACCAAATGTAAAGTTGAATAAATAGAGCAACAATTACCTTAGGCTGAGAAGTTATAAAAATTTCACAATATAATTAA